GGGGGGGGGGAGAGTTGTTGGAAGGGAGGTAAAGGTGCTTAAGAACCCTAAATAAAGTAGGTTTGATGAAAAATCAAAACCTACCCCAGGTTTCTCTGTGTAGCCTTGACTGTCCTGGACTCACTTTGTAGACTGGACTTGCCTCAAATTTACAGAGATCTGCCTGCCTCTGCCTCCCCAAGTGCTGGGATTACAGGTGTGTGGCACCACACATGGCTCATATAATATAATTCTGTCAGTAAGAGTTCTGAAAGAGTTTACCCAAAAGCACTTAGATCTGATAAAAACTTTTATCAAAGTGACAAGATATAAAGTTAACATACAAACATCAATTTTTGTTATATACCCATAACAAATTGAGAATAAAATCAGAAATATAAATCTATTCACAGATTCCTCAAGAAGATACCTTAGAATAAGTAAAACCAAACATGCTGGCTTGACAGAAATGTCTCCTATAAATGTTAGGCATTTGAATATGTGGTCCACAGTTAGTGGATGTTTTGGGAGGATTAGAAGGTGTGAACTTATCCTATACTGTATATCTAATATCCAGGTATAAGTTTATCTTTCTGCTTCTGGGATACCTCACTCAGGATGATCTTTTCTAGCTCCTATTATTTGCCTGCAAATTTCATGATTTCCTTGTTTTTAAAAACTGAGTAGTATTCCATTGTATAAATTACCACAATTTCTGTATCCATTCTTTAGTAGAGGGACATTTGGGCTATTTCCAGATTCTGGCTATTACAAATAAAGCTGCTAAAAACATGGTTGAAAGGACTATTCATGGAGATAACCTAGAACCCCTGCACAGATGTAGCCCATGGCAGTTCAGTGTCCAAGTGGGTTACATAGTAATGGGAAGAAGGACTGCCTCTGACATAATCTGATTGGCTTGCTCTTTGATCACCTCCCCCTGAGGGGGGAGCAGCCTTACCAGGCCACAGAAGATGACAATGCAGCCTCTTCTAATGAGAACTGATAGACTAAGATCAGAAAGAAGGAGAGGAGGACCTCCCCTATCAGTGGACTTGGGGAGGGGCATGCATGCAGAAAGGGAAGGGAGGGTGGGATCGGGAGGGGAGGAGGGAGGGCCTTATGGGGATACAAAATGAATAAAGTGTAATTAATAAAAGTTAAATAAAAAAATTAAAAAAAATATACATGGTTGAGCAAATATCCTTGTTGTATACTTAAGCATATTTTGGATGTATGCCTAGGAGTGGTATAGCTGGATTTTGAGGTAGCACTATACCTACAGGTTTACATTCCCACCAGCAATGGAGGGGGTTTCCCCTTTCTATACTAAAATCTGCACACCTAAAGAAGGTAAGCAAGAAGGACACCCCTGGGGAAGATGATCAATCTTCATTCAGAAAGGCAAACAGGATAGCCATCAGAAGAGGGAGAAAACAGGGCACAGGACAGGAACCTCTGAAAGACTCTACCCAGCAGCGTATCAAAGCAGATTCTGAGACTCACAGCCAAACTCTGGGCAGAGTGCAGGGAATCTTATGAAAGAAGGGGGAGATGAAGGACCTGGAGGGGACAGGAGTTCCACAAAGAGACCAACAGAACAACAACAACAAAAAAAAAAAAAAACTGGGCACAGGGGTCTTTTCTGAGACTGATACTCCAACCAAGGACCATGCATGGATAGAACTCCTGCTCAGATGTAGTCCATGGCAACTCGATGTCCAAGAGGGGTTCCTAGTAATGGGAACAGGGATTGTCTCTGACATAAACTCAGTGACTGGCTCTTTGATCATCTCCTTATGAGGGGGGAGCAGCCTTACCAGGCCCCAGAGGGAGACAATGTAGCCAGTCCTGATGAGACCTGATAGGTTGGGTCAGAAGAAAAGAGAGGAGGACTTCCCCTGTCAGTGGACTGGGGAAGGGGCATAGAAGAAGAGGGAGGGAGTGTAGGATTGGGAGGGCATGAGGGAGAGGACTACAGATGGGATACAAAGTAAAGAAATTGTAATATAAAATAAAATAAAATAAAATAAAATAAAATAAAATAAAATAAAATAAAACAGAAGGTGTGAACTTACAGTGAAATATGTCACTGTAGGTGAGATTTAAGGTTTCACAAGATTGGAACCATTTTGAATGAACTCTCTACATCCTGTATGTGGATCAAGATGTGAGATCTCAGTTGTTGCTCCAAAGCTATGTCTGCCTTGAAGTGCCATGCTTCCTGCCACAGTCATGAAGGAGCCTTATATCTCTGGAATTTAAGACCCAAACAAAGCATTTCTTCTATAAGTTCCCTTGTTCATGTTGTTTTATCACAGGAATAAAAAAGCAATGAATACATGGATGAGAAATCCTCTATAATTAAACCTCTACACACTGAGGAAAAAACTTAAGGAAGACATAAGAAAGCTAAAAACCTTTCCATGTCACAGAGTAAAATTAATGTTATAAAAATGGCCATCCTATAAAAAACAATGTACAGATTCAACACAATCCCAATCAAAACTTTATTGCCATTATACACAGAATTGTAATCAATCTTAAAATTTATACAGACAGTCCCTGCATGCCAGATATCTGGCACAGACTGAGCTGTGTGCCCCAGGGCAAAAA